TCCAACCTATTCCTACACCGCAAAATATAGCTCAACGAGGTAGTCGGTGGTTAGGCATACGTAACACATGTCCCAACCACCTCAACTGATGAAATTTCACTACTTCATCTATTGATCTGCCATCCTTACCTAGCACCCGTTTCCTGATAACAGCATTGCTTACTCGGTTGTCCCAGGATACACAAGCAATGCTTCGGAGGCACCTATGACCGAAGACTAGTAACATACGAATGTCCTCTACTCTTAACGCCCATGTTTCGCATCCGTAGAGTAGGACAGAGAGAACTGCTGCACAGTACACTCGTCCTTTGGTTAGCAGCCGGATATCTAGCCTACGTCATTAGTGACGCAACTTGGCAAAATCCAACCGAGCTTTCTGTATCCGTGCTGAGATTTCGTCACAAACCAAGTCATCAGCACTGATGAAACTGCCGAGATAAGTGAAGCCATCAACACGCTCGACTTCTGCACTTCCTATCACTAGTTCATGTGCCGATACAAGCCAATCCTGAAGCAACAGACTGCATTTCGAGGGGGAGAATCGCATTCCAAACATACTTGCATTGTTGCTCAGGGTAGTCAGAAGACTCTGCATTTTGTCAGCGTCTTCACCGAATAGGACTATGTCATCAGCATATTCTAAGTCAACAAGCAATTTTCCTGTTAGAAGGTCCACCCCTGAAAATTCAGACGATGATAATGTTAACTCTAGAAGCATATCTACGACAAAGTTAAACAAGAATGGAGAGAGTGGGCATACCTGACCGAAACCAATTGAACTATCAAATTCCGATGACAGTTCGCCATAGGCTCTAACTCAACCAGTGGTGCTTAATTAGAGAGCTTGTATACGTTTAATGTACACATTTCAATGACAGACACTGCCACGGAACTTCACGATCCACAGAGTCATATGCCGATTTTAGGTCCAAGAAGACAACTATTGTCGGAAGCCTAAATGTGCGTCTGTGTTCCAGGACCTGTCGTAGTGTGAAGATGTGGTCTATACAGCCACGTTCAGGTGAAAACCATCCTGCTTTTCTCTGGTGTGCTCCTTACGAGCTCTAGATAAGAGTCTAAGGATTATCGAGTCTAAAAACTTAGAAACTATTTTAGTTAGACTGATTCCCCTGTGATTGTGATAAGAATACTTTTTGTCCTATCTTATAGATTGTGACAATCAAGGATTGGGACAAGTCAGATGGGATTACGTCCAGTTCCCACATTTTACCTAAGATCTCAGTCAATCAAGCTGCTAAAACTGGACCACCATCCTTAAACATCTCAGGGGTAAGCTTATCAGGACCTGCTGCTCTACATCGCTTCAGATTTCCTATAGCATTCTCAACTTCATGTAGACAGGGAAGACTTTAATCGATTTGCCATTCAGGATGACTGGGGATCGTGGGCAACCGAAGTGTGGCTCGAGGCCAGTAGAACTGATCCCTAAAGTGTTCTGCCCATCGATCCAGTCTCCTGGATTGAGAATGGATAATAAGACCATCCTTTTCCGAAGTAGTCTCACTCACATTCGGGTTCCTAATACCGGTTTCTTTGATAAAGCGGAAAAGTTGTCTACTGTTGCCGATCGCCGCTGCCTTTTCCATCGCTTTTGCTTTCGCCACCCACCACTGTTACGTAAGCTTTTTATAAGTCTGTGCCTAAGCTGACTACGCTCTTCATCATGTTCAGAGTCAGGTGGGATTCGTTTTCGACATCCATCAGTTCGGTGGATGCGACTGAAATCCACGGCTTCATCCTAGCCTTATGGTTTACCTTACTAGCAGATATCACTGCTGTTTCCACAGCCTTCTTGATATCATTCCGACCTGCCTCCGGATGAGAATCACTTGCATGGTCGCCTAACTGTTTTTCTAGTTAATCTTGAAATATTTTCAAAGCTCTGCTATCATTAGGTAGAACCCTAAGAGGTTTCCTTGTGGTGTCTTTCCTACGTCCAGTAAGTCGCAAACCAATACGAGCTCGCACTAGGGCATGATCTGAATCTAAGCATGTGCTCCAGAACGAGCAGCTGTCCTCTATCGAACCCCTCCATCGGTGGCTGATGGCGATATGATCTAGTTGCGTCCAACGTTGAGACAACTTCGGGGGTCGCCAGGTCAAAATATGTTTTTCCTTATGCCTAAAATTAGTGTTTGCTAGAAATAGGCGGTTATCTGAGCACGATTGCAACAGACGGTCGCGATTGTCTGTTCTTTGAGCCGTGAGACCATAACATCCACCTAGGTGTCTTTCATTTTCACTTAGTCTACCTACTTGAGCATTGAAGTCACCAGCCATTATAATTATATCAGAGCGCCTAACGTTTTGCAGGAGGTTCGAAAGCTTCCTGTAAAACTCATCTTCAACCTCGTCTGAACTGCAGTCAGTGGGGGTGTAAGCAGATATAACGAAGAGGCAACGACGGGTGTCCCTATCTTTCCGAATCCTTAATGTCCCGTTTAATCGGACAACGCACAAGCGACTATCTCCTGGGATTCAGTCAAGGAGTGATAGATCTGCCCTACGACTCAATACTATACCTACACCAGCGAGACCAATGGAAGCAGCATCAGGGCTACCGGGTACACGAAGGGTAAATCCAGCTGCTTCTTTATCTTGACATGGTGAGGTCAGATGGATGACGCTACTCGAATCCTGAATGTGTGCTTCCGAGAGGCAGCATACATCGGTGGCATGAGATTCTAAAGTCCTGGCTAAAGAAGCCTGTTGCCCTATTTGACACAATGTCCGTACATTAAATGCTCCAACATGTAGTCTAGAACGGTGTTTCAAGAGACCAGGAATGACTTTTCGTGAACTCGCATCATTTGCATTAGTGGTGCAGTGAGATAAAGGAATGTGAGAAGAGTTAGTCATGTAGATAAGACAGACATTAGGGGGTGTAGGAAGGATTTGATTTTTACCGATTTCGTCTCGCGTGCTATTGTCGGTATGAGGGTGGTTATCACTTCCCGACTGCCCACACTGTGGAAGGTTGTTTCTTGAGGAACCTGAAAAAGAAGGTAGATTAGTGTTGGTTTTAACGACCTGGGTGCGTGACCGCAGAGCCCAAGGGACAACTTCTTGAGGCCGGTCACGTAAGGCCTTTTTATGAAAGGTTTTTTGAGTATTCGCTCAATTCTTTTTAAAGCCCTTAGTGGGCACCCTTACCGCCGGAGACGGAAATCCGTGAGGTAAGGTAAGGTGTGACATTTTTATGTTTGACCTTTTCTGACCCCTTCCGTACTCGTGAAAAGGTAACATCACCACAGAATCTGGTAGTGTGAGGGAAACAAGTTACTGCTGTCACACCTCTCCACAGTTAGCAGTATGCCTTCGCCATCAGACCTTGAGTTGCTGCTTTTAGTCTCATCGTTCTTCAACTTTTCTGCCTGGCATCGTAGAATAAACAGGAACATGTGTTAACCAATATAGCTCGGTTGTGTCATCACGATAAGCAGCAGCTACGGCCGGTGCTTGGAATGAGTGGAACCTGTTGGATATAAATTGGACGGAAGCGATCAACTTCAGGAGAGATGCTATTTTAATCCGGCTATGAAAAAGGAAATGACTCTTTCCAAATTATCACAAAAAGCACTGACAGTATGGGAATATCATGGTACTAGCGCCATCGAAGCATCTTTCAAGACAAAGAAAGAGTAGATTACAATGAATATCATCAATCGCTTCACGCACATCAATAATAGCTGTGGAAACGATAGAGATCAGCTTCAATAGAGGTTGCAGTCAGTCGGAGAGAAATGGCTCAGCAAGACCTGACCATTTTGATTTGAGACCTAAAGTCTAGGTCGGAATGGACGACATCGGATATGAAGATATCATGAGACGTGGACTGGAAGAAAGGAACATAAATTGTGAGAGATTCGCAAGCCCATGTGCCTTCAACAAAATTATTATAGATGGTACCATATTCCCACTCTAACGCATACAAAACGTTACATGGGTTTCACCAGACCACACTACAGAGAACCAAATCGACCACCTTTGCACCAACAAAAACCTCAAAAGAATAATGGAGAACGTGAGAGGAGCTGACATAGTTTCAGATTACCATCTTATAGTGACCAAGATAAAATTAAGCTGAAGAAACACTGGACAACTGAGAATATAGCATTACAAAAGTTGATTGCGGTCTTTCTTCTTGATACTGACAAATTCAACGAATCGAAGATAGCTCTGAGTAATAGGTTTCAAGCCTTGCACGATCTACTCAAAAAAGAGGAGACTGAAAGGGAGAAAAACTGGAAAGGGATTAAAGATCAAATAAGTCTAACATGCCATATGTTGTGCAGCAAGAAGCATCACTGTGTGAATTCAGTAACTGTTATCACGTCTGACATCAGTTTTAAAGTAAGGAACAGAAAATGGCGTAAGGTCAGCGACCAAATCAAATAAAACGAACATTGTTAAAAATCGAGAGACAATAAAAAATAATTTCGCTATGCATATGGGGTCAAATAGTCTCCAATAAACAGAGATATGTCGCTTCATGTTGGAATTTAATGAGTCTCATTCAAATGATATTTCAGTGATGGAACATTAAGAAGCACCAAAACCACCCTTCGATACCACCGTTCGTGAACTTAAAAAACAGTTGTCTACGCAAGATAATCTAGATCCACTGACCAGATACCATCAGCAACAACTATCTGCGGCAGGGGAAAAACCAGCTTCCAGATGAAGAGGAAGCTTGGAAACAACGCTAAAAGTGAATAGACACGTTACGGAAACCATCAAGCTACATCACATAGCAAGCCCTAACTTGGAATCCTCAAGGCCAAGGGAAAAAAAAGGCAGAGCAAGGCGCACATTGAGCCTGGAACTGTAGGTAGACATCAAAATAATGAATTGCACTTAGGATCAACTAGAGAGAACCCAGTAGAGTAGTTTGGAGAATCTCTGTCACTGGCCTTTGCTCCACGAGGTCGGTCGGCCAGTTATAACTCAGTATCACATTAGCACCGACAGTTGGCATTGTCAATTCAAATCTCATAGTAGTGGAGGTAGTAGAAGTATCAGCGGTAATGGAGGATATTACGGATCGAAGATACGATTCGAGGGGCATAATTCAGTAAAATAGATTTTAAAAGAGAAGATCAAGAGGAATTCAGATTAGAATTTGAGAAGACATAGAATGAATGCATCTGAGCCATTGCAAACAATTTTAAGCAATGTCATCGTATTTACTTACTTACTTATCTCATTTGCTCACCTCAGTTAATAGTCGATGAAAACATTGAAGACTGGACTAAGCCATGTTAGTAGGTTTACACTACCTGGTTGGAGTCTTTAAGGCAATAGTAACCGATGGTTAAAGATTATAGATAACACATTTTCCGTCAGATATCGAGTTATCAATATTTATGTGTATTCTTACGGCCATTTTGAAAACCTTCAGCTAAATTAGGCTTCGCATTTACTGCGAAAAACAAATGTAACTTCTTACACATATGTCTACAAAACAAATGTGAGGAAAAACCCAGCTAGATATTCACCAAATAATTGTATACAAATACAACAACCAGATCATAAAACTTACCAGTACTATTTGGACAAAGACGAGCAAGAAGCTCGTAACGAATATCTTTCTCAACGGACATGGAACGAGCATGTATTTTAAATATATGAGTACGACCTTCGAGATCAGGTAAACCAAACTCAACTTTTCGATCCAAACGACCAGGTCTAACAAGAGCAGGATCAAGAGTGTCAGGTCGATTGGTGGCCATTAGTACCTAAAACAAAATATCGGATTGAAAACAAAAGATAAGTGCGAAATAAACTGGAAAACGTCTTCATATGACAGACGTTTCTGCGTGAACGATCCATAAACAAATAGATCAAAACTGAAGATGAAGTTATCTATAAGAAGAAATCAAACATAAAGAGCTCAGAAATACACTAAAACTGTTCAGACGTTTGCATTGAAAATTGTGGCATTGGTGCTAGTTGACAGTTGTTTTGAGTTCCAGATGTTCCTCAGTTGTGGAAATGCTGTCATTGCTTTGTCGATTCGCGCCTTCACATATGCATCAAATCCATCTTGCTCGTCGATGATGCTGCCCAGGTATGAAAGGGTTTTTACGTCCTCCTAGGCATCTCCAACAGGTGTGATTTGATTGGTGCATGTTGTGTTGTCTCGGAAGATCTTGCTTTTCCGTTGTGTATGTTTAGACTCACTGTTGCTGCTACACTGGTTTTCTTCTCTTGCTTTGTTGTTTCGCGTGCTATCGGAGAGCCAGATCATCTGCAAAGTCCAGATCGTCCAGCTGCATCCTTGTTGTCCACTGTATACCGTGCTTTCCTTCAGATGTTGACGTCTTCATAATCCAGTCGATCACCAGGAGAAAGAGAATGGGTGAGAGTAAGCAACCCTGTCTGACACCGCTCTTCACCTCAAACGAGTCTATCAGCTGTCCTCCATGCACGATTTTGCAGTTTAATCCATCGTTATAATTCCGTATGATGTTGACTATCTTCTCAGCAATGCCATAGTGTTGGAGAAGCATCCACAGTATTGTCCGATCCACACTACCAAATGCTTTCTCATAGTCAATGAAGGTGATGTAGATTGGTGAGTTCTATTCAACTGATTGTTCCACAATGATCCGTAATGTTGCAATTTGGTCAGTATACGATTGATCTTTACGGAATTCAGGCTGCAGATCTCGAAGTTGTGCGTCTATGGAGTTCTTCATTATGTTTTAACAACATCCTATTGAAGACTTTGCCTGGTATTGAGGGAAGAGTGATGCCTCTGTAGTTCTCAGAGTTGCTGAGATCTCCCTTCTTTAGTATCTTGATCTAGTTGTCTTTCTTTCCAGTCTGTTGGTACTTGTTGTTCATCCTAAACCTTGCTGAAGAGTAGGTGAAGTAAATTTACAGTTAGTGTTACGTCTGCTTTCACTGCCTCTGCTAGAATGTTGTTTCGTATAATTAGTGTAGAAAGTAATGCACTAATTATACTAGTATATTATTATTTTAAAGTTTAACAATTTCACTGAAACAAAACTAGGATTGGAAATTAAACTTTTATTTCGACGTGTATGAGTTTTAGGAAAAATTCACACTATGATTATAAATGGAAATTAAAATCAATTTTGGAAACATTAAAAAGATTTACCTAGATCCTACCAAGCAAATGAATAATCAAACTAACTGATTTTCTTGGTACTTTTCTACTTAGTGATTTATAACAAATTTACTAGTAAAAGTACATTTGACTGATTTATCTAATTAAATATTTTAAAATATCCACCTTTGACGTGCCCGAAAGCATCTGTTACTAGTAATAGACGTTTTATTCAATCTTAGAAATCTAGGAAAAATGAAACCACGAAAGATCTGTTGCGAAAAATTAACTTCAAATCACTCACTAAATATCACAATGTCTATTTATATTACTTTAGAAAGTCAAGAAGTAATAAAAACAATGTGATATACTGAAATGAAAACTACTGATGATGCTTTGTAATGGTAAAACATGTTCAGAAAGAAAGTATCAACAAAAACTGGGGCAAATTTAAAAATGTTATGTTCATATAATATTAGTAATTGGTGATATCGTAAAATATTGAAAAATTAATGTGTGTTAATGACTACTTTACGAAGATCTAAAGTTTTCTACAAAGATTTTACATGCAGTTCAAAAATAAATGGAGTAGTGGAACTTACTTTTATGTTACCTCTAGGATCAAAACCATCTAACTGATTAATTAATTCAAGCATAGTTCTCTGAACTTCATTCTCACCGCCCAATCCGTCATCAAAACGAGCACCACCGACAGCATCTATTTCGTCAAAAAATATGATACATGCTTTCTTCGATCTAGCCAGCTCGAACAATTCTCTAACCATGCGCGCACCTTCACCAACATACTTCTGGACTAATTCAGACCCAATGACGCGAATAAAACAGGCATCGGTACGATTAGCAACTGCTCGAGCACACAATGTTTTACCTGTCCCAGGAGGGCCAAACAGTAATACACCTTTAGGAGGTTCGATGCCCAGATTGACGAACTTTTCAGGCTATCCAAAAAAAGCGAAGAGATAAAAACTTTAGCTTGCTTACGTGACAGATACAACACAGAACTTCATACGTATGTACATCAGTTCAGGTTGCCATACTACATTAGTACAGAGATGCAACTGTCAGTTCAAATCCAATTGTGGTAGCGATAGTAGAAGTATTAGAAGTAATGGAGAAGATTAGGGTTCGAAGATATAATTCGAGAAGTATAATTCAGTGAGATAAATTTAGGAAGATAAAGATACAGATGATGAGGAATTCAGAAGGTTAGAATTTGAAACACAAAGAATGAATGCACCTGTGCCATTGCAAACGGTTTTGAGCCATGTCATTCAAGGTCTCTAACCATTGATGACTTTCGTCTCGTGGACCCCAACCAGGTAGTCTACATCTACCAAGACTCAGTCCACTTGTCAGTGACTTCATGGATTTCTGCCATGTTTTGGTATGGCCGCCCCTCGCTTTCTTCCAACCTACTCCTACACCACAAAACATAGCTCGTCGAGGCAGTCGGTGGTTGGGCAAACGTAACACATGTCCCGACCAACTCAAATGACGGAGTTTCATTACTTCATCTATTGACCTACCATCCTTACCTAGCACCCGTTTCCTGATAACAGCATTGCTTACTCGGCTGTCCTAGGATATATGAGCAATGCATCGGAGACACCTATGATCGAAAGCAAGCAATCTACGAAAGTCCTCTACTCTCATTATATGAATATCTCCCTAACTATTCAGTAATTTATCCAAGAGATTATTTGGAAGTAATTTCGCTGTTTTCATAATCAACAGTTGTTATAGCACTAAGTTATATTTAAAGTTGCATATTGGAAATCATGGCTCAAAATTAAACAAATAGGTTTGATTGCGTTTGCTTCTGACGTAAACAGTTGAAGTCAAACAAAGATATCCAGCACAAAGTTGGCGACGATAAGCAACAGCGATTTCTGATTTGGAATGAGTGAATACTGGTGGTTAATGGTTAACCGATCGTCACACTGAAATTCTGTCTGCAATTTATCTTACTTCAAGTGTTGTTCCAGACAACGGAGTGTCGAACACTGAGTTTCGATCCGAGTTGGCAATTGAATTTACTAAGTTACTTTAATTTTCTTGTCCAACTTACAAATTTTAGATACAATAAGGACAATATTTCACTTGATATAAAACTAGAACTGAATAAAAATAAAACATGCAACTGCCTCCTAACGGAGGAATTAGTGGAGGACTACCAATCTTAAATAGATAAGTTAATAAGTTTCAATTGAAAGTTAATCTGATAAGTGTCATGTCAATTAATCGACACAAAAGGTAATCAGCTAAAAGCCTTTTATAACTCGGATTCATAGCAGAGAAGCTAAAAGGAAAGTGGTATAAATCAATGAAGTCATTTACTGACGATTTAAAGCATGCAGTTATATGCAGACTACTTTGTCAGTCAGTCAGTCAGTCTTTGTTGAGGTCCTCGAAATAACTGCAGGAGGTGCCATCGATGTGTGCTGCGTCTCGGAAACGCGCATACAGGATCCGAGTAGCATCATTCACTTGACCTCACCATGTCAAGATAAAGAAGCAGCTGGATTTACCCTTCGTGTACCCGGTAGCCCTGATGCTGCTTCCATTGGTCTCGCTGGTGTAGGTATAGTATTGAGTCGTAGGGCAGATCTATCACTCCTTGACTGAATCCCAGGAGATAGTCGCTTGTGCGTTGTCCGATTAAACGGGACATTAAGGATTCGGAAAGATAGGGACACCCGTCGTTGCCTCTTCGTTATATCTGCTTACGCCCCCACTGACTGCAGTTCAGACGAGGTTGAAGATGAGTTTTACAGGAAGCTTTCGAACCTCCTGCAAAACGTTAGGCGCTCTGATATAATTATAATGGCTGGTGACTTCAATGCTCAAGTAGGTAGACTAAGTGAAAATGAAAGACACCTAGGTGGATGTTATGGTCTCACGGCTCAAAGAACAGACAATCGCGACCGTCTGTTGCAATCGTGCTCAGATAACCGCCTATTTCTAGCAAACACTAATTTTAGGCATAAGGAAAAACATATTTTGACCTGGCGACCCCCGAAGTCGTCTCAACGTTGGACGCAACTAGATCATATCGCCATCAGCCACCGATGGAGGGTTTGGATAGAGGACCACCGCTCGTTCTGGGGCACATGCTTGGATTCAGATCATGCCCTAGTGCGAGCTCGTATTGGTTTGCGACTTACTGGACGTAGGAAAGACACCACAAGGAAACCTCTTAGGGTTCTACCTAATGATAGCAGAGCTATGAAAATATTTCAGGATTAACTAGAAAAACAGTTAGGCGACCATGCAAGTGATTCTCATCCGGAGGCAGGTCGGAATGATATCAAGAAGGCTGTGGAAACAGCAGTGATATCTGCTAGTAAGGTAAACCATAAGGCTAGGATGAAGCCGTGGATTTCAGTCGCATCCACCGAACTGATGGATGTCGAAAACGAATCCCACCTGACTCTGAACATGATGAAGAGCGTAGTCAGCTTAGGCACAGACTTATAAAAAGCTTACGTAACAGTGGTGGGTGGCGAAAGCAAAAGCGATGGAAAAGGCAGCGGCGATCGGCAACAGTAGACAACTTTTCCGCTTTATCAAAGAAACCGGTATTAGGAACCCGAATGTGAGTGAGACTACTTCGGAAAAGGATGGTCTTATTATCCATTCTCAATCCAGGAGACTGGATCGATGGGCAGAACACTTTAGGGATCAGTTCTACTGGCCTCGAGCCACACTTCGGTTGCCCACGATCCCCAGTCATCCTGAATGGCAAATCGATTAAAGTCTTCCCTGTCTACATGAAGTTGAGAATGCTATAGGAAATCTGAAGCGATGTAGAGCAGCAGGTCCTGATAAGCTTACCCCTGAGATGTTTAAGGATGGTGATTCATTTTTAACAGTTAGACTGACCGAGATCCTAGGTAGAATCTGGGAACTGGACGCAATCCCATCTGACTGGTCTGTCGCTAATTGTCCCAATCTACAAGAAAGGACAAAAGTCCTCTTGTGACAATCATAGGGGAATAAGTCTAACTAATATAGTTTCTAAATTGTTAGCCTCGATTATACTTAGACGTCTAACTAGAGCTCTTGAAGAGCAGACTAGAGAAAACCAGTCTGGTTTTCGACCTGGACGTGGTTGTATAGACCACATCTTCACACTACGACAGGTCCTGGAACACAGACGCACATTTAGACGTCCGACCATAGTTGTTTTCCTGGACCTAAAAGCGGCATTTGACTCTGTGGACCGTGAGGTTCTGTGGCAGTGTCTGTCGTTAAAAGGTGTACCAAAGAAGTACATTAACCTTATACAAGCACTCCACTCGAACACCACTGGTCGAGTGAGAGCCTATGGCGAACTGTCATCGGAATTCTCTACATCAAGTGATGTCTGTCAGGGCTGTCCACTCTCTCCATTCTTGTTTACCTTTGCCGTAGACATCCTCTTAGAGTTAACATTAAGCTCGTCAGATTTTTCAGGGGTTGACCTTCTACCATGAAAGTCGCTTACTGATCTAGAATATGCCGATGACATAGTTTTATTCGGTGAAGACGCTGACAATATGCAATCTTATGACTACCATAAGCAACAATGCGAGCATGTTCGGGATGCGGTTTTCCCCACCGAAATGCAAAATGTTGCTTCAAGACTGGGTTTCATCGGCACCTGAACTAGTGATAGGGAGTGAAGTAGTCGAGCGTGTTGATCGCTTCACTTATCTGGGGAGTTTCATCAGCGCTGACAGCCTGGTGACTGACGAAATCTCAGTACGGATACAGAAGGCTCGATTGGCTTATGCCAACCTGCGTCACTTATGGCGTAGGCGTGATATCCGTTCGCTGATTAAAGGACGGGTGTACTGCGCAGCAGTTTGCTCCGTTCTCCTATATGGCTGTGAAACATGGCCGTTAAGAGTAGAAGATATTCGTAGGTTACTAGTATTCGATCATAGATGTCTTAGAAGCATTGCTCGTATATCGTGGGACAACCGAGTAAGCAATGCTGTCGTTAGGAAACGAGTACTAGGTAAGGATAGCAGATCAATTGATAAAGTGGTGAAACTTCATCAGTTGAGGTGGTTGGGACATGTGTTACATATGCCTAACCACTGACTGACTCGAAGAGCTATGTTTTGTAGTGTAGGAGTAGGTTGGAAGAAAGTTAGGGGCGACCAGACCAAAACATAGCAGAAATCCATGAAGTCACTGATTTTACAAAAAAAACGAAACAGAATAGTCATTTCATTTGTTTCAGAGAGCTGTCTTATTTTTTGAACTGATGTAGATCGGGTACGGTGAGTAGTTCGGAGAAACCGACTAAACCATTCAAATTGAAAAATAAGTTCAAGTTATCTATTTTATTATATAAAATAGAATGACCTAATGTTTAATTGCTTGCCAATATGTGGATAAAACAAGATATAATCATATCGCAGGATGTAATTGTAAGGTTTTTTAGATACCTCATTGTATAAAAATGGAAAACTCCAGACCGACAAGATGAACGGGAAGTAGAAGAAGGGTAAACCAGAGAAACAAATGAAAAAAAACGAACAGATAATCAATAAGGTTTGATTAATGAAATAGAAAGCTAGGGGCGGCCAGACCAAAACATGGCAGAAATCCATGAAGTCACTAACAAGTGGACTGAGTCATGTTGGTAGATGTAGACTACCTGGTTGGGGTCCGCGAGACGAAAGTCACCAATGGTTAGAGACCTTGAACGACATGGCTCAAAATCGTTTGCAATGGCTCAAGTGCATCCATTCTTTGAGCTCTCTCAAATCCTAATCTTCTGGATTCGTCAGCACCCCTACCTTTGTCTTCTGACCTTATCTCACCTAATTATACTTCTTGAATAATATCTTCGAACCCTATTCTTCTTCATTAACATTAATACCTTTACTATCTTTATCACTATGGGGTCTGATTTGACATTTGCGTCTCTGTGCTAATGTGGTATGGTAACATGAACTTATGTACATACGTACGAAGTTTTACGTTGCAACTGACTGACTGAGATTCGCAACATCATTTAAGTACTTCGGTAGGGTTTTGTTTCCCGACTTTGACGGCTAGACAGTGAAGCCTTGATAGACTATCAAAATAACATCTTAAACACAACTAATTTGAGCGAGGTTAACAATTCCTAAGTAACTGTGCTTGAAGTTCTGCTATGGTTACTGGTGATCGAGGTAAACAAGGGTTGTGCGTACGGTTACCACCCCTCAGCCTCTTAAAGCATAACCCTGCTGCGAAACGTCTGGCAATGCGCCAGGTTCTGGGCTGCCAGAAGCATCAGAACAAACGGTTGATCTCCACAATCGACAATATCCAAAATGTAGAAAACAACAGCCAATAACAACTAAACAAAAGCACACACAGCTAAGACACATGCTGATTATACAAAGGCAAGCAAATGAATGAAGAGAATGTGAGGTAACGAGTGGAAACATGTAGAGGATGAAGCAACCATAACAGAAGGTGCAACAGAGCCAAGTGAGAACTATATGAAACCAAAAAGAGGCTAGCAGCGAAATATAACAAACCAGAACGACCAATCAAGGACGAAAAGAGCAGACCGACCATTAATATTCAAGAACAGTAAGACAAATAAATAGAACACTTTGAAGAGCTCTTGAATACACCAGCGTCACTCAACCCAATAGATATCAAAGCAGTACACAGTGATCTTACTATAGATGTTAAATCAATAACAATGGAAATCAGTGAGGCCATCAGAAAAATCAAGAATGACAAAGCAGCCGGACCAGGCAGTATAGGATCTGACGCAAAATTTTTACTAAAAAACATTTGGGTGGAAGAATTAGTACTAACAGGCTAGGGAGAAGGATTTCGCATCAAAAAACCATATAGGTGTGAGAACTACGGAGGCATTAAACTATTAACATTACCATGATTTAGAAGACGTAGAACTTTGAAATTGACTGGTTGGATTTTGTAGAGATAGATCATGTATCGGTAGAATCGTGAAATTGCGCATCGTCGTTAAACACTTAATCTGATAAGACATATTAGACTAACTTACTCCAGTTAATCCTCGTGGAGCGAAGATGGTTTTGGTAGTTTACAATAGTTCAGCTACAAACAGTAGAACTGTCTTGACGCTCTTATTGAAGATCCTGATTGGTGTTTGCTGGGAGTTGTTTCGAGTTTCAGAAGTTCTTCAATGGTAAGAATGCATGCCCTTATATTTGAATCAGATTCTTACTGCTTATCAATGATTCTGGGCAGGCGTGTAAATGTTTCCATTTCTTCCACAGCTTCCCTATCAAGTGTGATTTGCTTGGTGCTTACTGTGATGTATTTAAGGATCTCTCTTTTTCCCTTATGTTCGTTGAGGCTATGGTAGGGGTATATCATCTAATAAGCCATCCACCTCTGTTCAAGATATCCTCTGTATTCGTTACTTTTACTGAGATGTAGATGCATTTTTATTTAGTCAGAGATCAGAAAATAGAGGAGAGTAAGCAGTCATCGAGATTAGGGTTTGAAGTTATTCAAGGATCATAGTTGATACCTCGACATGGTGGCCGGACTTACCTGTCGTGATGACCCAACCGAGCCATAGTAGTTCGAAAATGTTCCTGTGGGTTTTACCATGCCAGGCAGGACGACTGGAGAACAATGAGACTGAAAGCAACAACTCAAGGTTTGAGGGCAAAGGCGTACTGCTTACTGTAGAGGGGTGTGATAGCAATAAGCTGTTCCCCTCAGACTGCCGGATTCTGTGGCGATGTTGCCTTCTCAAGAGTAAGGAAGGGTTAAAAAAGGTCGACCTTACAATGTGACACCCCACTCTATCCCACAAATTTCCATCTCCATTGGAAGAGCGGAGCTGGAACGTTGCTTCCTATAAGGCAGCTTTGAGTGACCGGCCGCAAGCAGTTTTCCCTTTAGCTCTGCGGTCAGGTTCCCTGGTCTCTAAGATCAACACTGCTTTAATTTCCTTTTTAGGCTCATCAAGAAATACGCTTTTATGTTAAGGGCAGCCGGGAGGTGACATCTGCCCTTATACTCGTATTCGCACACGAGACATTTAAAAACCAGTATTTTTATTAATTCTACTAAATCTAGTAACCAAATGGACGCTAGTATGCACAGAAATCCTTTAAGAATTCGTTAATTTGGTCAGACGTAGGTAAGAAGTTACTTTATATCAGCTGTTTTTTTATTTTTGGATGTAACTAGGTGCATTGGTATAAAATCAAGTTTTTAGTCAGTACGGTGTAAATTTAATGATGGATATTTTGTACGTGGTTACTATCTAACCACTCCGCACGTCAAACAATTTGAAAATATCTTTGCGACACTCACATGAAGTAGAGGCAATTCTACGACTTCCCTCAACTTCTCTATTTGTTCTTTGCACCCACCGACATCACTATAAGTAACATCCGGTTTGTCCTCCACCTGCATCATTGTTACACTCGGATCGATTTTGGGAGGTAAAGGAATGTGAATTTGATATTTTGTGCGGTCGACTCCAACACGCATTCCCTCTTCAATATCAGTTGGAGCCACTGTGTCGGCTAGATCAACAACGAATTTCGCAAACTGTTTGACATTAATGATGTACTTAGGTTCCTCAGTATCAGAGTTGATTATCTTCGTGCACCGTGCTACCTGCAGCGGATGTTCGTCTTAGTGTAAATTACAGTAATGAAAAATTTACTTGATAAGCAGGCTTTGTCAGCAGCTAGATCCCAAAGGGCAGGCGGAGCTAAGCCGGTATCCGACTCTTTAAGCCCTAAAAGGGTATATAGAAGCAACAGAACGAACCTGTCAGCTCGTTGACACGTTTCATATAAGTCTGAATGTCATCTTCACACTGCTTTATTTCTTTACTGTATGCAGCCGAACTCTAAGCAATGAAATTGTAGAAGAAGAACGTACGTATGTCTTCAGTAAGGCAATATCACCCTCATCAAGAGCTAGAATGAAAAGTAAAAATAGTTTTACCTCTTACCCTTGATAGGTTTTTCATCATCTTTTTGATCTTTCGTCTTACGTTGGTCGGAGCCCAAATAGTCCGGCATTTGCTAAATAATGAAGCGATTCAAAGTAGCCACCAAGGTACAATGCTCAATATCCAATATCTTTTCAAGAGCTAGTATAAACCATTTGATTTCTTTGCATTTGATTCTTGTTCTTTCAGTACTGTTCCAGGTGTTTGGTAGTGTCCAGTGAATGGGGGTCTAGCCATTTGACTGACTAATTCTGGTCAGTTGGCAGTTTGTTGTGAGTTTGTGTGTCTCGGGATTTGAATGAAAGCGTTTGTTTCAGGCCAGTTAGGTTTCTGGATACCAGCATCTATCACATTACCAAACCGAAGATCAGTTAGTCGCAAAGTGGAGAATAATAATGCGAAAATTCTGATGCTAATATGAACAAGATTTCAGAAGTATGTAAATCAATAGATAATTTAGTTTAATAATTGGTAGTGAAGATTGTGAGAGGACCGAAGTGTAAGCAACAGAGAGGAAACAGAGATAATAGGCGAGATAGATTAATTGAGTGATCTGAGCAGATGGCAATGATAACAACTAGCAGGTCTCAAGATATGCATCATGCACAGCTTGTCCAAGAAGGAGATGATAATCCGTATGTGAGTACGTGATTATCAAGTCTCTTCTTAAAGCAGTCCACTGAGGGGGCTGTGGTCCACTCAGCTGAGAAAGCAATCCAACTTGCGACAACTCTCAATGAGAAAAAATTCGCACGGACCTGAGTACTCGCTCTCTGATGTGCAATTTTTCGAGGATTTCCTCGAAGAGAGTGGTGGTGATGCATCGGTAAGATGCTCATGTTATGATGGTTTGGAGTGCTTAACATGTTGCACGCGATAATCAGATCACCTCTGATCTTTCTTTAACTCAGTAGGACTAATCCCAAGTGCTGAGGTCTATCTTCGTGAGGTTTATTCTCCAACCCTAACACCTATTTAGTTGCTCATCTCTGTGCTCGATCCAAAAGATTTGTGTCTCTTTTAAACAGGCGGGGTGCGATGACGTTTTGAACCTCCAGGTGTAGGTGCACATATGTGTTAAATAACGGCAAGAATAATTGTGAGGTGATAGAACCAAGTTGTCTTCGCATAAAG